CCTCAATAATATGATATCAATACTTTTTGTTAAAGGAATTCACAGCAATTCTGTACTTGGCGTAGGTTTTTACACGTAAGTGTTTTTTGGGGGATAAACAGAAGACTACACGTAATCACTGGCTCGTTGCGCATGCGCGTCTCGACTCGTTATGCCTGTGTCGCGTCGAAGCTCATACGTATATGCAAGGGGACAAATTTTTTAAGATTGTGTGAGAGGGGACAATTTGAGAAAAATTTTTCGACTGATATTGCTAAAATGCCAGATATCAGTATTGCGGGAACCGATTTTATTGGGCAAAGGCTCATTGTAAAGAAAAAAAAAAGAAAAAATATTGGACCTGACACATTTTTCGCCCACGACATATACCCGCAGATAATTCAAGTTATTTCATCGTAGCAGACGAAAAAGCGCCAACTCGGCGTCAGTAAGAGTAGCGGTAGCGTCTCGTGAGGAGGCCGATTTTTTGTTTTAATACTTGGCGTCGAGACGCTCCCGCGTCTCTTGATCAGAGTATCGCGAAACAAAACAGCCAAAGCTTATCTTTGTTTGTTTCTTTGCCTAGCCACAAAAGCAGTTCATCTAGAGATCGTCTCAGATATAACAACGTCAGCTTTCCACAACTCGCTAAAAAGATTTATATCGCGCCGCGGCCGGTGTAAATCTATTCAGTCAGATAACGGTACCAACTTTGTAGGTGCAAATAATGTAATGAAGCAATTCGCGGAATTACTTACGAGTAAAGCTCATCAAAAAACAGTGATAAAATTTGCTTCAAATCAATTTATAGAGTGGAAGTTTAATCCGCCACATTCACCTCCTGTAGGAGGTCTGTGGGAAGCCGCTGTAAAGTCGGCAAAAACACATGCGGGGGCTGTGATAGGAGATACTAGTCTTAGTTTCGAAGAATTGTCGACAGTGTTTTGTCAAATAGAAGCATGTCTGAATTCCCGCCCTCTATTTCCACTTTCGTCAGATCCAAGCGAACTCGAAGCTCTCACACCTTGACATTTTTTAGTTGGATCTGCTCTAACTTCCCTTCCGGAAGGAGATGTCTCAGATATAAAATCAAATCGTTTAAATCGTTATGAGCTACTGACTAAGATGCATCAGGACTTTTGGCGACGTTGGTCACAAGAGTATATTACACAACTACAGCAGAGAACTAAGTGGAAATCAGAAAGGTCAAACGAAAATGTCAAAGTAGGTAGTATGGTACTATTGCGCGATATCATCCCCCCCCCCCCCT